CCCTTAAATTGCTCAGTGGTGCTTAAGGAAATAATGTTTAACTCTGTAGAAACTGTCTCTCATCCTGTGGATTTTCATTCCAACGGAGAACCCAAATAATGTGTTTGCTGTATTGTCCTCTCTTTGTTTCATAAGGCGCTTGCTTATTTTGCCTCCAATATTAATTTTTTCCTTGGCATCAGTGAAAAATAGCCCATGGGTCAGTATCAGGGAACACAGAATTAAAACACTTTCAAATCATTGAATGTCAGCTGTTTAAACATTCACTTCAACTTTAATACGTAAATACAAAATAGGCATAAATTACGATGGCACAGTTTCTTACATCATTTTATTAAGAACAAAATTTCCTGGATAGACTAGATCTATATAAATAAAACCACAGTACATTTTACTTGTATTTATAAGAATGTCATACTTTTATAAAATTAAGAAATATAAGTTTATTTCACCCCTCAAACTGTAACTGCAAATGAATCATGCATTGCCTCTACTGAACAAAGAGAGGAAAAACTCTACCAAACTGACAAAGCCCTGACAAAGATGTGGCTTTACGCTCCAAAATTAGTCATTGAACATACGAGGACTACTCATTGGTCAACAAATATAAAGGTATAATACACTGTCTGCATGTCATAAAAACAAAGTCATATCTAATTAACACAGGTCTCTCTCCTTACCTACTTTTCCAATGAACATTAAATAAAAAAGGAAGGGGGAAGGCTGAGTGTCCAGCATGCAATAAAATAAAACATTCCAGTTTGAGAGATGGTCATAGATGAATACAGGTTGCCATTTATCAAGTCATGTGAATTTCCAGCCTGTTTAATCACTAACTTCTTGGCAAGCTGGTTGTGTTACTATTTTCCCAAACTGTCAGGATAAATTTTTACCACTTCATGTGGTAAAGTAAGGTTGGCAGGATTCTCCCTAAAACTTGAAAGGCAGCAAAGATAACCCACCAACCATATGACTCCTTAGACATCACAGCATGCCTTCCCCTGATAAATGGTTGTCCATATTCTCTACACAAAAGTAACAAAGAAATCAACCAAACATTAAAAAGGGGGAAAGCAAAGTCATAGAAGTACCCAGATGCTTACAGACCATCTTCAATACATGCCTTGTTTGTATTAAACGTGCTAGCTTATTTAGCAGATGAAGGGTGCATCCATGTTGTTATCCTTCCTGCGTGTGGTCCCATCACAGTCATTTGGACTTTATATAGTTCTTTTTCCTTCAAGGAGATGGAGGCCCTTTGAGAGAACTGCAGGACCCTGGCATGCTTCCAGATGTAGTTCCTTGCCCAACCCACTGCATTAGAAATCACCTTTTAATGCAATGCTTGAAGATATAAAGCTCATGGAGTGCACAATTCCATTTACATCACATGTCATTTAGGTACAGCTTATTTCTTTTCAGCTTTTCTTTTTCTGAGGGAGGAACCGTGAAGAACAATTATGAGGAAGACAGCAACCATTAATGACAGGGGAACCAACATGAAGGAGACATCAGAGTTCTCCTTTATGAGTGGGTGGGTGAGAATTACTACTTTGTTATGGTTTTTCCACAGAACAGGCTATTTTATATAAATGGGCTGCATGACAGTTTTTTTTCTCCATGAATACCAGTGTTATTATTTTCCAATTTTACTCTGAGGCACAATCATTTTATAGTACATTTTGCTCTTAAAAGAATAAAAGAAAGAACACTGTGATCATTTAGAATATTCTAGCCTGTTTTGGACAAATTTAAATGATGCCTTTTTTTAACTTTCCTTCTTTACCAATTATCACCCCTACACTGAGTGTCTAAGGCATCCTAAACATGAACATGCTGAGAAAAAGATATCCCTAAAATGAGTATTCCATTGTTTTCCTCAAAATTTTGTTCTCTCTAGCTTGGGTTGACTTGTCTTCCCACCAGAACTTCAGATATGGTGCTATAATCTCCTCTATCTTTTACTGGCTGTCTTACAATGGCAACATGATGTCATATTTAAAGAAACTGTGAAGTGAGCTTTTACGGTATACTTGCATTGGACCACACCCACTCTTTCCTGACACCCATCACCCCACAGCAGCCTAAAAAGCTAAAGTGAATGATCAGAAACCATTTGGAACAGGTTTTTAAAATGCACTGGGGGAGGTGGGATCATCAGAAACCCCAGATTACAAAACACACCTGCTTTGGGTCCTTTTTTTTGGGGGGGGGGAGGCAGGATAGAAATAGTGAATAAAATTAGATAAATACTTACATATATAAATAGTTGGATTTGGGTCTTAGTAGTATTAACAGCAAACCAAATAGACTTAGGGCCAAACTGTGTATTACAAATACATTCTTAAGTGTAAAAGCTGTGTGATTGTCATAGTAGGAGCTTTTTACACCTCCCACTGTTTGCATATAACCTCATTTGCATTGTGCTTGTTCCTGTGACTCCTAGTTTGTCCAGTCCAGTGGTTATCAACCTTGGGTCCCCAGATGCCCTTGGACTAAAACTCCCAGAAGCCTTCACCACTAGCTGAACTGGCCAGGATTTCTGGAAGCTGTAGTCCAAGAACATCTGGAAACCCAAGTTTGGGAACCACTGGTTTCATCCACACTTTGCTTCAAACCTGGGAAACAAGTTCAAAACAGTTTTCAATTCTGGTTTGAAGGCAAGCTAAGGTTTTTGCTTGCCTGATTTATATATCTGCGAGAGGTAGTGTAATGTAGTGGGCCAAGTATCAGACTAGGACTCAGAACACCTAGGTTGAAATCCCTACTCAGCCATGGAAATTCATTGGGAATAGCACTAGTAAAACTACTCCTTAAATACCTCATATTCTTCAGAAAGCCTACTAATGTTGCTATCAGTCAAAATCACCTTGATGGCCTCTAGCATCCACATGCATGTGTGTATGTACCGTATTTGCCGGCGTACAAGACGACTTTTTGGCCCTGAAAAACATGTCTCCAAGGGGGGGGACATCTTGTACGCCGGGTGCATGTCCAGCAAACCCTCCCTCTCTCCCAGCGAAGTCACTTACCTGGTAGTAAGACCGAGTAGAGCCCCGCTCCTAGCCTGGGAACAGCCTGACTCTAGCGCCGAACAGCTGACTGTCGGGAACAGCAGAGAGGAGGCAGCCATTTTGAGATGCGACCACATGGCTGCTGCCTCTCAAAATGGCTGCCACCTCTCTGCTCTTCCTTCTTCCAGCAAACCCTGGCTCTCTCCGAAAAGGAACCAAAAGGGGCAAAAAGTAACTCTCCCCATGATGCAGCCAAAGCAGAATCACACATGCGGAAGAGGGGGTAGTCTTATACAGCAAGTATATAACAAACTTTACATTCTGAGTGGGAATGTTCAGGGGTTGTCTTATATGCCCAGTCGCCTTATACACCGGCAAATACGGTAAAACTATATATGAGCAATGTGGAGATTAGTAGCTCTTTCTAATGTCCTGTGTCCCTTGTTAGTTTCTTCTTCTCTTTTGTTTCCATTCCTGCTTCCTGCATGGTGTGCACCTGGAGGAGGGACTAATCACTCCTGCCAGTGACTGACCACCTGCCGTGGCTTTTTGAAATGGGACCTATAAACAATTTCTAGAGGTACCATAATAACACATAAGCAACAAGACATCACAACAATGCTTTAGAAGCTGTCTGCCTGCCATTAGGCCCAAGGAAGCTTTGCCCAAATATGGATTTGGGTCACAATGGACATTCAATACATGACGGAAAAAGACAGCTGTCAATTGTGTTTTAGAGAGCCATGAAAATAGATGTGTATTGCCAACTTTCGCCAAACCTTTAAGCAATCAAGAAGGTTAAATCCACACTTTTCTTTCTTTCTTTCTTTCTTTCTTTCTTTCTTTCTTTTTACATGTGTGGTTTGGCATAACTGTCCATGCTACATGCTGAAGAGAAATCTAGAAATATGTGCTGAAGGTGAAATGCAAACAAAAAGTTCCTATATTCATTTGATTGTGGGATATTCCTTGGCTGTAAATATTGTAGCTTGTATTCCTTAAGAAACATGTGCTTCATCTGAACCTAGATTTACACTTACAGAAAAGTCCCTGAGAGCAAATGAACATGGGATTTCCACAGTTCAGACTAAAATCCTTAGTAACTCATGTCAAAATAAGCCTTTCTGAACTTAACAGGCCTTACTTCTGCATGGGTATGCACTTGATTGCACTGTGAAGCATTACTTTTGGCATGCTATACTGGAAATGAGTAAATGGCAGTGACCCAGAAAGCTGCCTTAGTCAAATTGTCTGTAAACCAATCCAACACCCTAAATGTGGGAGCCTTTGTTTTAATCCTTTGCAATACTTTATTATTCTCAATTATTCCATTTTTATCCTTTTCAATGGAGAAAAAAGTAAAATAGATGGCTGGACGGACAGACAGACAGACAGAAAGACAGAAGTATTCCATTTGGTCATCTTTCTTCTGAAGCTTACTACCATCCTCTTATGAGTTTATTTTCTAATGCCACAGGAATTGGATACTGGGGTACTGCACATGTTCTGCACTTTATCTGCTCCTAATTTACCTGCTCATACTGCCAATGGAGTAATTGGCCAGTGTGGACAACCAAGTTGATTGTAATCAACCAGCCTGAGTTCTCATTGTTCCTTGACTTGATTGTGTCATGCAACTGTGGCCATCAAGTCATTTGTTGCCATTTTAAAGAAGTAATATATGCCATGGCTTGTAATTATTATGTAGCACTCTTCACAATTATCAATAAATTAAGATAGGCTTTCCAGGTGTCTATACAGTGGACCCTTGACTTACGGAATTAATCCGTATTGGAACGGTGGCTGCAGGTCAAAAAGCCTGTAAGTCAAGTCTCCATTGACCTACAGTGCATTGAAAACCGATTAATCCTGTAACAGGCCGTTTTTGTTCCATTTTGGTTTTTTTCTGGTCTGTAAGGCAAATCTCAGGCTGCAAGTCAAACCTAAATTTTGCGGCCAGAGAAGTCTGTAACTCAAAAAGTCTGTAAGTCAAGCCGTCTGTAAGTCAAGGGTCCACTGTACAGTGAAAAATTCTGCTAAGAGCAGCAACTGTACCTCCTAAATGTTTTCCATTGGGAGATGCATTTTGCATTTGACAAGATGCCACCTAGGAGTCTAATGTGTAGTGCATAAAGTCAGTGAAGAAGAAGGAAATGTAAAAACTAGACTGGGGTATTCTTCAGAAAGGAACCTGAGAGCTGAGACTGCACAGTGAAGCTTGTCAAATTGATTTTTTTTCTTGTGTTTCTATGAAAACTAGTCTGTATTAGTCATGATGCTATTTACTTTGAATCTGGTACAACAATGACAACGAAATGGCCAGAATCCTATTGATTGTTTATGCTGGTGTTCAGTGACATTAATTACAGGGCAAAGTGTAATGAGTTAATGAGTCTCTGCTGATATTCCTCATTATGGACCAATCAAGCAATTTAGCAGGCAAGAAGCCAGACAAGCAGCAACTTCTTAACTAGTGACAATTTGCTGCTGCATTTTTACGCTGCAATACTTCTGCCTGGGTAAATAACCAATAGAATTCAGGCCAACAGCTCCTTCAATTTGCCCTAAATTGAATCTTTATTTCAGCGCAACCCATCATAATGTTGGTATGTTGTTCCATGCAGCCTATTCATACAGGAAACAAACTGCACAGCTAACTGATCTCATCAGTATCAGGTTGGAAAGCAACAGGTTTTCTACCATGTCCATGATTCTCATTAAAAACCCATACTCAAGAGAAAAAGCTAGCTATGCTCATTATTTGCAGCCCTTATTACTCAGCCCTTGTTACAGAATACTAGCAACAAGCAGGGTAGACCCTATTCCACCTATTTTGCACAAGCTGAAACAAATGAACCTGCGTATTGTCTGCTGCAAGGTGATGAGAACTGAGACTTCTCTGCTCTCTGCTCTTCCTGCTGCTAGCACTGTTACCCAAGAACCAGCACAGTTGGGGCAGCAGGGAAACCATGGAGCAAGGACTAAATTACAGGCTTCATCACACTTGCATTTTAATGCAAATGTGCATACCAACCCCTATTCCCTTGGCCTATGAGAAGCATAGTTCTCTAATTCCTGGGAGTTTTTATTCAAAAATGGAACATGCTATCACAAACCAAATAAAAACAGTCTAAATCTTTTCAAGACTAGATAGTGTTTCCAAAAGCAGGATTACTGGGAATTTTGGATTTCTTTGTCTTCCTTTCTTTTGTTGTAAACTTAGTGGTGACTGTTGTTGCCATCAGGCACACTCAACTGCTGGCCCTTTAGAATCAGATTCAGAAAAAACATTTCAATCCTCACCCTTAAAATAAGACAGCAAAGCTGTTTTGGTCTAGATACACTCCAATAGAAGCCTGATAGCACTTCCATCTCTTGGTTTATCATTGTTGACTGCCATGTAAGAAGTGCTTAAATGGGCGGTTTCTTCCCGGATGAGGATGAATTGTTGCAGCTCTGTGGGAAATCCCTCCCTAAGATTTGTTAATTGGACTACAGTTTATTCAGCCTTTCCAAAAAGGAGATGATGTAGGGCTCAAGTTTTTCAGGCCCTTTAAGAAGAGTGCTGTAAAGTAAATATAACAAATCCTAATTAGGCCAAACAAATTGTAATCTAAATAACAAAATACGATTAAAAACTATCATATAATAACATTGAGTCTGGACACAACATAAATCTATGTCACTTTGCTGCAGTTTAGAATGTATGTCTGATGAACAAACATCATTGTTTTTAACTCTTTCTTTTTGCTTAACTGGACTTGCCTCCTGTTACCATAATCTACTCACCGCATGGGGTCAGGACAATCTACAAAACCCCAATTTTCAAAATGCTATGATGGGAGTAGTATACACATGTACTGTACACTACTGAGTCCCTACTCATTTTTAATTGCATATGGGTCAGAATCCTATTGAGTTTTCTATGCCAGCATAATGCAACAAGCATAAATATTATAGACCTTTGTGTGCTGAATTGCAGAATTCAGCATGCAACAGTAAAGGCCTCCACTAACTTCCTACCTTGCTGCAACTGGCCAAAAAAGACACCACTGGGCCTAACAGGATTTTGACCATTATATGCTAAATCATAGAGCTACAACATTGGCACAGTATTACTTTCTTAGCTTTGCATGAGTTATCTAGTAGCTGCTACTGATTGTTGAAAGGGTGACAAACACAACTTAGGAAACTTTCATATCATAAAGACATTCTAATCCATACTTTATGAATGGGGGGATGTATATCCATGAAAAGTATGAATGCTGGACTAACAGACAGTAGGATAAGGAACATAAAACAGAGCAAGTCCATCTTTCCAAGAACTGAAACAAAAATTAAACACATTGTCCCATGAATTTGAAAACATATATGAATATGAGTTTACCACCTAGATGGAGACAACACAACAATGCAATCAGCTGGTGAGGAATAGATGGCAATATGGGGTGTTACTGATAAGACAGAGGTATCTGTGTTAAAATCAAACTACAGAGAGCCTCAGACACAAAGGTACACTTGTATCTAACAAAACAGGGTTTTGCATTGTGTGGTTTACAGTTAATCTATTCTGGTGCTGGAAGGCGGGGAGGAGGGTCGAATAATGGAACTAAAGGGATGCCTTTACCCCTTTGGACTCTCTGCGGAATGGCCCCTGAGAAAATGGCTAAGAAAGGGTTCAACAGGAATGCCAAATTTCTGCTGAATAGGTTAAAAGAGTGAGGAAGCCTCTTCGGCAGCCATCCATGCGCAGAAGGCCCGCATAACATTTCTGCTGAATAGGGCCCTAAATAAAGACAAAAGAAACAGAGGAATCTAATTGTAACTTGAGGAGAAGTTTTGACTACATGTCCTAATGCCTGAGGATTTCAAGTTAATTTGATAGCCCTCTGGACACCAGCTGACTTATAGTATTACAAGGTATTAAGCCATCTTTCTGACTTGAATATAAACATCACAATAAGCCCTTTCTGCCATAAATGTAGATAGGTGGACATCATGAGCCTTAGGAGAATCTAGAACACCAGGGTTCTACCCAGACATATCAAATAGTGTAGACAAAGACAATGTTGTCTACTCAAAATTTTAGCTATTAAAACACCCATCCACACCCAAATGTCTTCTAGACATAAAACTTGGATTTTACTTTAGGGTGGGAGCATTTTACATTGCCATAAAAAGAAAATATTTGAGGATCAGATTTTACTTGCACTTTGTATCAATCATACTGTAAACCTCTGGATTCTATTATGTCTTAACGGGGATTTAGCCTATGCCAAGGGATTTTGGTTTGGCAGGGAGGGGGAGGTTTTTTTCTCCAGCACTAGTGTACTTTTACTCAAAAAGCCAGAATATGAGAAGGAGGAATCTTACCTCTGCAAGTGGATGCCAATGAGCAATTGGTTTCCGAGGATATGAGAGCATTTCGTTCCAGTGGTCTCGCCCAAGGCTTTCTGCATCGTTGCCTACCTGACAGACTCCAATGACCTCATTGTGACCTACACTGTGAAAATGTTCAATAATATTTATTTCTTAAAATTTTATCTCTGGGAACCATGTAGTTCAAAGCCACTAGGGAAGGGGGAAAATATCTAAGGGCCTAACTAGATACAATGCTAAGCAAGTCTTTGCACCCAACATTAATAGGATCATAGGAAGCATGGAGAAGTCATTAACCCTCTCCTAACCCGAAGACAATTCCTCCTGCTAAACACAGTCCTTGCCAGTGGGGGATAGGTGAATATCTTGCCTAGAGGGGATTGCTTAGCAAACCAAATACCAGCTTTAGGGGAGAGATTTTCTCAGAAACCCAAGGAAGGGTAAGAGGAATACCTTTTCCATGCCTACGCTGATCCCATTAATAGCCACCTCCCTTTAAAACCATGCACATTACTTGGTAAGAATCAGTTCTTGCCATGTGCATTTTGGCCCTCTGGTAAGAGAAGAGCAGCTCTTACAAAACACACACACGGACAAATAACAAAATGTCAGACAGCAAGCTTTCCATATCCCTTTCACAATGTAATATAACACACATTTTGGAAGTTTTAAAGAGGTAGCTGTGCTAGTCTGTGCTAGCATCTCAGGTCAAAGCAAATTAAAAATGAAACTAAAAAGCCAAAAAAATCCCATTGTGGCACCTTATTTAAATGTGAACTTTCATGGACAAGTCTGAGGAAGTGGACTTGTCCACAAAAACCCACATTAAAATACAGCAGTTAGTTTTTAAAGGGTCACAACATGTTGGTCATCTTTATTTTTATTTTGCTTTGTCCTAAGACACGGATGAAGATTTTTTTTAAACATAGAATTGATTCTAAAGAACCCTGGCTTAGCCTAAGGAACCCTGCTGTATATTTGTACCCACTTGGCTCTTCCTGCAAGTGTTGACTGAAATGTAGACCTATTTGGCCTGTTTCCTGTGACACATAACCCAAAACTCTCACTTGCCCCAAACAAGCCATAGTTATTAGCTGGGGCTTGTTGTAGAGTAGCACCAGCCTGCTTGCCTTGCAGAAACACAGTCAATGTAGGCTGGAAATTGGCAGATGGCTTCAAAGTCCCACTGACTTTCAGGACCTAGGGAATGGCTTGAAAGTATAGGTGGTAACAGAGCTGCTAAAACTATGCAAGTGGTCAATTCTTGGAATGAATTGGCTACTGGAAGCCCCATGTAACAAGGAGGAAAGTAGAACAAATAAATATTAAGCCCCTTGAGTCTCTATCCATCATCCTCTCTAGATGTTCACCCCTTTCTAGAGCTCAAAGTGCCAGTGTGAAATCTACTGGGACTTTTCAGGTCAGTGAAGCCAGAAAGCATGTTTTACATGACACTTGGAAGTTCTCCTGCAGGCCCATCTCATATCAGGTTATGATGTATATCCCAAAAATCTGATGGAAGTATTGAAGGTATTTTACTCCCATCTTTCATTTTGCACCCTAGGAATATTACCTTGTCCATTTCTCTAAACATATTAGAATGGGGGTGGGGGAAGCATTCAATGCATGATACTTAAATAAAAATAGCAGTATCACTTGTCCTATGTTTACTGATACAGCTGACACATTAAACCAAATATCTCTCCTTTAAACAGATCTGGAGTCAGGCACATAATATATGAAAGCATCAAGAGTGGGTGGGGGACAGGGGGGCAACTACTGTCATTAGCTTAAAAGATCTGCTCTTTATTCCTAGAAGATGTCCAGATATCTCACCGGTCATAATCCATAACTGCTATAGATAAACTGATTTGGTCAATGCTTTCTGGAGGGACATCAAATACTATGGCTTCATTGTAAACAGGATTGAGAGTATTCCTTTTGGTGGATGTCTTCCTCTTCTTCAATCTCCTCCCTTCACACATTAGAGAAACTTTCACATAGGGATCTGTTAAGAAGCATAGAATACACATAGTTACTTTCCTTTAAAATAGTTTGAAGTCCAAAGCAAAGAGCAGCCTGAGATTCTTACCCAACTTTGTTTTTCTATTCATTTCTTAGAATCTTCTGATCTGTGGCTATAAAGATAAAGCATGTTCTTTAACTATGACCATGTCTACTATCGTGCAGGATACCTCCTCAGGATTTTTCTACAAAAATTCTGGCTGATTTGCCTTCTAAGGAAGAATTTGGAAAAAGGGAAGTTTTTGTATGATGAGTACAATTGTGTGGCAACATTTTCTCAGGATTTTTCTACAAAAATTCAGGCTGATTTGCCTTCTAAGAATATGATGAGTACAATTGTGTGGCAACATTTCACCTTCTGTTCTGTACACTCTTGCCTGGACCACATATCAAAATGAAACAAAGCTTGAACCAGCTGGCATATCATATGTGTTTACAAATTGGTCCAGGTTACCTATCCCACCTTTAGCTGTAGTACAGAAGGATGTGTGACTCTTTTTTAGCTGTCTTTCAACCATGGTGCAGAGTAGACAATTGTTTTGCCCTTCTTCAGTACATACAATGCTAGCTTTTACATCCATCAAACTCAAAGAAATGCTAGCTTCCTTTTAGGATGTGGTTGCATCTGAGGGCATATTGGAATTTATGGCTGTGCCAACATAGGTCATATCATGGCTTAGCAAGTTGCCTCTGGCAACCCCTGACCTTTCTTGTTTCCAGAAAAAAAAGTCTAAACCACTCCAGACAGATATTCTGAGAGCAGACGGTTCTGCCTCTCCAAGCTTCACAAGAATAAGATATCTTAGCAACTGCAACTCTATTGTGACTGAATGTACTTAGCACTTGCAACAAACCGCTCACATCTTTCCTGGTAACTTGAAATAAGCAGTGAAAATAAGTTGCTGCTTAGGAATGGAAAGCCAGGGTGACGTACCAAATAGAGTTTTGGATAAGAACTAGAGAAACCTTGTTTTTCATCCCTGTCAGTGAACTAAAATGGACGGGAACAGGCGAATTCAATTCAGATGAGCATCATATCTACTATTGTGGGCAAGAATCCAGCAGAAGAAATAGAGTAGCCCTTACAGATTTAAGGAACTATATCTGGTGGGCAGAGTGCCTGAAGAACTATGGATGGGGGCTCGTAAATGTACAGGAGGCAGCAACAAAAACAGCAACAAAAACCATCCCAAAGAAAAGGAAATATAAGAAAGCAAAGTGGCTGTCCAACGAGGCCTTACAAATAGCAGAGAAGGGAAACAAAATGCAAGGGAGATAGGGAAAGTTACAGAAAATTGTATGCAGACTTCCAAAGAATAGCAAGGAGAGACAAGAGGACCTACTTAAATGAACTGTGCACAGACATACAGGAACATATTAGAAAGGGAAAAACCAGAAAGGATTGGAAAAGATCAGTCTATATCCCAATTCCAAAGAAGGGCAGTGCTCCAATTACCATACAATTACACTCATTTCACACGCTAGCAGGGTTATGCTCAAAATCCTACAAGGTAGACTTCAGCAGTATGTCGACCGAGAATTCCCAGAAGTACAAGCTGGATTTCGAAGGGGCAGAGGAACTAGATACCAAATTGCTAACCTGCGCTGGATCATGGAGATTGCCGGAAGAAATATCAACAACCTCAGATATGCAGATGATACCACTCTGATGGCAGAAAGTGAGGAGGAATTAAAGAACCTCTTAATGAGGGTGAAAGAGGAGAACACAAAAAATCTTCTGAAGCTCAACTTTAAAAAAAAAAGAAAACTAAGATCATGGCCATTGGTCCCATCACCTCCTGGCAAATAGAAGGGGAAGATATGGAGGCAGGGACAGAATTTCCTTTCTTGGGCTCCATGATCACTGCAGATGGTGACAGCAACCAGACTTCAGCAGTATGTGGACTGAGAACTCCCAGAAGTACAAGCTGGATTTCGAAGGGGCAGAGGAACTAGATACCAAATTGCTAACCTGCGCTGGATTATGGAGATTGCTGGAAGAAATATCAACAACCTCAGATATGCAGATGATACCACTCAGATGGCAGAAAGTGAGGAGGAATTAAAGAACTTCTTAATGAGGGTGAAAGAGAACACAAAAAATCTTCTGAAGCTCAACCTTTTAAAAAAAAAGAAAACTAAGATCATGGTCATTGGTTCCATCACCTCCTGGCAAATAGAAGGGGAAGATATGGAGGCAGGGACAGATTTTCCTTTCTTGGGCTCCATGATCACTGCAGATGGTGACAGCAACCATGGAATTAAAGGACGCCTGCTTCTTGGGAGGAAAGCAATGACAAACCTAGACAGCATCTTAAAAAGCAGATACATCACCTTGCCAACAAAGGTCCACAAAGTCAAAGCTATAGTTTTTCCAGTGGCAGTATATGCAAGTGAGATTTGGACCATAAAGAAGGCTGACCACTGAAGGATGTTTTTGAATTGTGGTGCTGTAGGAGACTCTTGAGATTCCCCTAGACTGGAAAGAGAACAGACCTATCAATTTTGAAGGAAATCAACCCTGAGTCCTCACTGGAAGGACAGATCCTGAAGCTGAGGCTCCAGTACTTTGGCCATCTCATGAGAAGAGAAGACTCCCTGGAAAAGACCCTGATATTGGGAAAGTGTGAAGGCAAGAGGAGAAGGGGACGACAGAGGATGAGATGGCTGGACAGTGTCACTGAAGCCACCAACATGAATTTAACCCAACTCCGGGAGGCAATGGAAGACAGGAGGGCCTGGCATGCTCTCGTCCATGGGGTCACGAAGAATCAGACACGACTTAATGACTAAACAACAAGAAAAGGTATGTGTGTGTGATACAAATATATAAAGTTGAGGAAAAGACCTTAATCCTTTTATTGCTCTGCAAATGTATGTAGAAACAATGAACACATTACAGTTGCACCGTGGTATCCATGGGGGATCGTCTCTAAGCCTCCGCACAGATGCTGAAAAATGTAGATGTAGTGAATACTACAGTATACATTGCATGGTCTCTGAATCCCTCGTGTGTGTGATACAAATATATAAAGTTGAGGAAAAGACCTTAATCCTTTTATTGCTCTGCAAATGTATGTAGAAACAATGAACACATTACAGTTGCACCGTGGTATCCATGGGGGATCGTCTCTAAGCCTCCGCACAGATGCTGAAAAATGTAGATGTAGTGAATACTACAGTATACATTGCATGGTCTCTGAATCCCTCTAGTGGCCAGTATGTAGTGAATACTATACATTGCATTGTCTCTGAATCCCTCTAGTGGCCAGTTCTGGTAAATACACCATGGAAATACATATAAATATGTATTTAGGTGGGCGGATTTAGTATTTTCAGGCAGTGTATAAGTGTATCAGGAGATTCTAAATCAACAGATCGAAGGGTTCCTACTGTATCTTTGCTAGGTTTGAAAGATTGTTTGGAAGATATCTGTGAAGATTCTCAGTCATCCAGGTGCGGTTATCTGGAAGTTGAGTCATGGCAACTGGACTCCTTTGTTATTAGGCTGAAACGTTTTGCTACTCACCCAAGTAGTTTCTTCAATCAATCTAATAAGAAAGAGTCCAGTTGCCATAACTCAACTTCTAGATGGCTTGGAAAATAGTTTGCTTTTTAAAAAGATATTGTGTTTAACCACTTCAGTTAATAGGTTCTCCAAATACGAGTGATTAGCCTATTAAACTAAAATCAGTACTGATAATCTGACAGGTTATTATTCTAAATATGAAATCTTCATCTGGTTGCAAATATTAAAAATTATAAGTACCTGAAAGGACAAGTCTACATTTAAAAAACATTACTTTAATTGACTCTTACAGACTAGTGATTTAAATCCACCCTGGAACTGACCTTTCCATGCACAGCTAAGAACAAACAGGATCCTGGGCAATGAGCCTAAGGGGGGAAAAACACTCCTTGTTTCTAATCAATTAATGTGTTTGTTGCATTCAAAGGTACACAGTAGATAAGAAAACACTAAGATGGGCATATGCTAACCATGATTTTCTATAAAACTCGAGGATAAAACAGAAGAAGATAATTATTCTGTGAATATAAACAGTTTGCTGTATCAATGAGGGAAAAAGATATGCATACCTGATGCTCCCGTTATGTCCATTGCTTTTAAATTTCTTGCTTTTATTATAGTAATTGTTAGTCTACCAGCAGTTGGAAGATAGCAAAGTGAAAACATCAACTCTCCAAGATCTACTTTATCCTATAAAAAAATGGAACATTTGAGGCAATATAAAAAATATCTCTCTACATGTCTTCATATATTTCACATAACGTTTCTTGTCATAGGACATAAAGTGGTTCTTCTAAAGGAATTTAAAAAGCCCAGTTCAACACCATCATTATCATTTTTTATATAAGAGTAGCATATTATGAGAAAGCAGTTTAGTAGAAAACATGTAGTTGGCTATATTTTTATATTGTTTAACTACAATTATAATCATTTAACCCAAGTACTGTACCTTGCCCATGTTTCTCATATTAATTATTGTACGTATGTGGAATTGTTGCAAGAACTCATTTGCTGCTACTTCTCTAAGAACAATTACAGTAACACGGAACTCCTCAGAAAAAAGATATTTAAATGACCTCTAATGTGAGTGCCTTACAAGAATAAATAGATTAAAAAAGGGTAAGTGTTTTGGTGCTTATTATTCCATGACAACAGACCATGAAACCAGAACACTATATTGTGGTACACTTTTCTTCCAGGATCCAGCCAGCCATACACTCCAGACCCAAGTGAATTCCAATGAATTACTAAAAATAAAACTAAATGAATGTAAACTTTCCATGTTTATTTCTGAAAAGAAGCAAATGGGGACATAAAAGCAGCTTATCTTGCAAATCAAAACACTGATCCAAGGAGGTGATATTTAATGAATTGCTGGGTACAACTGGCATCAAGATCAAAGGAACTGTGCATGTATACATTAAATATATTTACTTTCTTTGTGTGAAATTAATCCAGCAGGAGAACTATAAAAGGAAAAGGAATTAGCTGCACAGATTACATATGTGTAGGTTGGCAAGGAGACAAATAATTTTCAGGAAGGTCTGAGTATTCGTTAGCAAGGAGGCAAATAATTTTCAGGAAGGTCTGAGTATTCTGCAAAGGACATGCATCTTCTTGTATCTAGGATACTATTTTGAGCACTCACAGCTGCATCTCTGATGCGAAGAAGCCCTGGGACCTCCAGAGACCCCAAATCCCTGGTCTTTTTCTACATTCGAAGGTTCAGGCAGAAATGCAAGCCTCACAAAGATGTTTCTCATGATTACTGCCATGACCTAATGACGTTTCTCATGATTACTGCCATGACCTAATAAGTGTCCTTCATGTTCTTTGATTCTGGTGTGGATGTTATGTTTTGTGGTCCCAATATGCACACCAGAATCAAAGAACATGAACGGCACTGCAGACTAAAAAACCCTGGAAAAATCAGTAGTAGCTGAAGACCCCTGAAACAAGCTGGACATGAAATCTGATTTCAAAACACAGAAGTACTGGACAACACCAGCAATCATTATGTTAGACTATACAGGGAAGCCATTGAAATCCACAAACATCAGGACAGCTTCAACAAAAAAGAAGAAAGTCTAAAACTCAACAAAGCCTGCCTCCCAACGTCGAAAAAGACAGCCTGCAAAGAGGATAATGAACTCTACCCAGCCACAAGGACTTGTGATCACTGCACACAAAAGACTATCCCACACAGTACACCAGAACACAGAGTTCTAACTCCTGTCCTCTGAAGATGCCGGCCACAGAGACTGGTGAAACATTAGGAAGAAAAACATCCAGAACATGGCCAAACAGCCTGGAAAACCTACAACAACCATCGGATACTGCTTCTATCAAAGAAACCAAATCTCCAGTTGACTTGTATGGAGTTTACTCAGCACTCAAACAACAACAACAAAAAACACAGCTGGCAAGCAGTATTTATTTTTACTGACCTTAGTACAGACTTCTAAATAAACCTACAAAGGCTATTGTCCTGTATGTTTGGCTAGCAATTCCTCTAAAGAGGCTAACAGCCCCACTATCTGTACTGCTCATGGAGGCTGGCAAGTCCACAAACACAATGGAAAGGCAGGCTAATATATTTTTAGCAAGGTAGTTTAAAAAGCTGAGTTTCACCAAATGGGGATGGCGGAGGAGGAATGTGAAAAAGGAATCCTTCTCTTTTCAACCAGTCTTTGATAGAGGAAGAGATTTTCCTTTCTCCGTAACTGGCATGGGGACCAAGAAAACCAGAGAGCCTTCGCCAGCCCATTCCATGAAGGTCACCTCCACTGACTATCCACCTGACTGTAGCCGTTTCTTGACTTGTTGAATACAAGATTTTAGAAATACAATTTTGGAGAAGATTGGAATAACTAAACACGTGTTAGCATTATGCTCTCAAAAATCTGATTTACTTAAGATACACCTCATGAAGAGTGAATACATGCTTTGAGAGGATTGGTGGTAACTTTTTTGGGGGGGTATCCAGAGACTCCATTTACCAGTCTTATCCACATTTCATGATTATTTAAAATTGGAATGAATCTTATCTCAGCTCCCTATAACCTATCTGACAGCCTGCCTTCCAATTGATCTGTGGCATATTCCTTTCAAGTCTCATAATAATTTACATTTTCAGATTGCCTAGGCAAGATTAACTGACCCCACTGGTGCAAATTGATGGATCTGGCGCTTATTCCTATGGTGCAAAAGCTAGTGGATCAGCTTCTGCACTCCTAGCTCCTGCATTTCTGGCACGGAAATTTAACAGGGAGAAACTGCGAGCAATGCTTGGTAAGAATCTCAAGAAAGGGGAGGGGAAAAGACTGGATCCAATTGTGGCTCAGAAAGCGGGCAGATTCATAACCTTCTCCTCCACCTGGACTGTAAATTACCCTCTGGATCTGTCAGGGCTCTTTGGATAACTGGATCAGTTTATGTCAGTTTCACATAGGTTCAGTCCTAAATCTGCAATTTTTCAGTAGATAAAGAAAGTGAAAAATTAGGCATTACTGAGAATTCCCTGCATGTAGGAGGCATGAATGCCTTCAAAATGACTGAAATGAGAAGACGACATTTATGGTCACAATAATGGCATCACTCCAGAAACCACACCTGACTAAAGCCACTGAGGGCCAAACTAATTATAAGTTCTTTTATTATGATCCTCCTCTCTCACTGTGCCATTGAATAAAGTGTTATCTATATGCTGGAGATGTGAAAAAGAAAAGGCAACATACTATCCTATGTGGTGTGTGCGTGTGAAGAGAGACATTATATTTAATGAGATTAAAGAAATTCTAGGGACAGATATACAAACATGTCTAATGTTAGCATTGTTAAATATATAGATTTAGATTCCCAAGGGTGGAGGGTTACACAATATATTTTTGTGTTATGATTCTATTTGTCATTTTGTTATTTTTGTCATTTTGTTATATTTGATTCTATTTGTTATATTTTGTTATATTAATGAACATTTATAAAACGAAACAAAACAAAATGGCAGCCACTCCACCCAGATGGATTGGTTGGTCTGATACCAGCAAGAAATATAATCCTTGAGAAAACACTGTCCTTCTGACACTAGGAAGAAAGAGATACATAATAAGTCTCTTCCCAATTGTGTTTTCTGACTCATTGGAGAGATCATCCCCATGGGGTTTTAACAGTCAGATATTACACCATGAAAGGAACCTATGTTTACAGCCATTTGATTTTAATTGACTTCAGAATCACATGGAAAGAAAGAAAGAAAGAATTTTGCAATGTGTATTTTCATTAGATTTCTGCCATCATCTTACTATGATCTAGAGACATTTCCATGCCACTTTATATCAAATCAGAATAATGAGTTGTAGTCAAACAGAGCTGTTCTTAATGCTTGCAGCTAATTTACCTGAAGAAACTGTATTCAAATTAAGCATTCTACCCTTTATAATCAGTTCCTATACTCTGGCCTATATTTTGGACTTTACATAATTTGTATCTGCTGCCTGCTTTTCCAATGATGGCAATGATACTATTTTTTAATACTATAAGAAGGAAAGCAAGCTAAGATTATAATCCTTTTAGAATTATTTATGCTACTATAAGCCTGGGTGCACTTAGTAGTGTGACGTTCTCTGAAATGCCTGCTATAGTAAGAAAAAAGGAAATCCTCAGAGGATCAAGAGTAGTGCAGGATTTTATTGGAATTCCCTATTTAGTACTCGGTGAATGGGAGCATGTGTAGAGAGACTAGTTTGGCAATGCCTGATGTCACAGTGTCTGCTCCTGTTACCACAACTTAGTGCATCCAGGAAAACTATCACATGATGCTGGTGGGAGATAGAGGGAGGACAGACACTGGTTATTTATCAGTTTATTCAAGATAAATCCACACATACACACCCACTGCATGAATTCAAAGACCTGACCATTGGGGGGGGGGGGAAGAAACTCAGTTTTGACTCCTCTCTTGACAACTTTCAAAATGTATGAGGCCAAAATGTCAATAATGTGCCAGCAAGCTCAGTATTGCTTCGAGTGTATGATTTAACTTTCGCTACAGGCAGTATGTTGTCATGTGGTTCACCTATGCTCCAAAGCCAGTTTTACAAATCAAACAGACACTGTGACAGACTCCTTAGAGCATTGCCCACTGTTTGGGTGTGCTTGCATCTATTACTCCTCCTGGCAAACTTTAAGAAAACTGAAAAGAGAAAGGAATTGCTTGTCTACCAAACAACAGAGAATCTGATACTGGGTATACATCATACAATCCACAGTTTCTTTAGAGCACAGCACTAGGAAGAGCCTTTAATATGGGCTAAGCTCCTTGGCAGGACAAATATTGAAGGAAAAAAACTGAAGTGAATTGAAAAGTGGCCCAAAGGGATTGTAACCATTTATTGTGGTAGTGACACATCTTTGTTCTTCTGCTTCCCTGGTTTCCAATTAGACTGTCAGAGTTCATTACACATTGAGTATAACCAAGCCTGAGGACTCTTTCAAATACAACTCCCTTCCTACAACTAACAGCATCAAAATTTACCCTTACTGTGCACATTCTCTGGATGCAACAATACCTTCCTTGCCCTCTCTCCATTTCCCATTCATACATGGGATGGAAGGAGTTGGGAGGGGGAACTGCGGTCAGCAGCAAGCACTCTGCAAACCACCAAGATGGGGGACTGTTGTGACCCAGTATT